ATTGATTGGAAACACTATATATGATTGTAGAGGCATAGGTTTTACACCTCTTCAGATGGGTGTTACCACACTACATCTACATCCAAGGCACCATAATTCTCCACTGGCCCCTTTCTCATTTTATCCCCCAACCTAGTAGCCTTAATTCTACCATCATACTTATAGAATTTTGTTTTTAGTTCTGTCCATTCCTTTATTTTATTTCCCTAAATTCCACATGAGTGAAATCATCTGCTATTTGTCTATCTCCTTATGGCATTTTGTTTAGCATAATTCCTTCCATTTCCATCTATATTGTCTCAAGTGACAGAATTTCATGTGTTTTTTTTTATACTTGAGTATCCATTGTGTATAAATACCTATTCCTCTTAATGCACTCATCTATCTTTGGTGACTTAGGGTATTTCCATGACCTGGCTATTGTAAATAGTGCTGCAATGACATAGTTGTGTATTACACCTTAATTAGTGTTTTTGCATTCCTCTATGTTTTTATGTTTACTTTTCCACTTTGTTCCACTTTATTGTGTCTGTTATTAAGCTCATATAATTGACTTAGTTTCTTTCACCAATACAAGAGAATTTAATTTTTTTTACAATGGTGATAACTGATATTTTTATTGTACATTTGTGCTCTTTTTTATACTTTCTACTTTTAGACTTTGTTACTCCCTATTCCTAGATTGGTCTATATCACACAATTTCTTTATGCTCTTTTAACTCAGTGACTTGAATCTTACACATACTGATTATACTAAGTAAAGTTACCTTTATTTTTTATTTATTTATTATTTTATTTATACAAGCACTGGGTACAGTCAGAAGCGCGGGAGGGTGAGAGAATTCACAGAGCCAGAGCAGGGAGCAGAGCAGGCAGAAGGACCGAAGTACACTGCTGAGGGGAGCAGCAGGTGGCAGGAGAGGTCTGCGCGCCATGTGGGACCTTCCTCGGAGGCTGGGGAACAGCCGGGATCGAACTGGCGCTACAGAAGCTGCGGGCAGCTTTGCAACCCAGCGCTCAACTGCTGCGCCACGGGGGGAGCCCCAAGTTACCTTTATTTTAAGAAGCAAACATGAAATTCATTTTACTATTGCTTTAAGAAAGACCAATACTGACTTATTTTGGTATATAATATAATTATCATATCATAAAAGAGTTGCTATTTCCTTCCTCTCCTTAACCCCCAGTTTTTAATAAGGTGTGATTTAAAACCTGTATTATTATTGTTCATAATAATGCTTATACTGTATAGTCAGCTATATTAGTCATATTCATAATTAAATTTTATAAGTATTGATTTTCCCATTTTGTGATTCTTCATTATTTTTTAGTACTTTAATTTCTCATCTATAAGTATTTTTCAAATGTTCAAAACATCTAGTTACTATATTTCTGGCAGCATTTGCAGGTGTGATAGATTCCTCATTATTTATTTTTAATCTTGACTGGATATAGCTCGAAAGACCATCTTGTCCAACTGACTTTTATTTTGCAAATATATTCAATATCCTTTAAACTAATTAATTTCATCATTACCTCTAAGAATTGTAATTTTATGATGTTTATAATGTCATATAACTCATTACTAATTTAATTGTCTTCAAGCTGTCAGGGCTTTTTATCTGCATCTACCACACAGATACAACCTGTTTTCTGTTCCCATTCCTACCTCTTCCAATCTATCTCACTCTATTTTTTTAAATGTTAATATTATTACGCTATTTTCCTGTCCAGATAAGGTTTTTTTAATTGCTTTGTCATTTCCCACAGGATAAATGATGATTTCAACATTTCTCCTATTTGTACATTACGAAATGGGAGAACAGCTGCGGAAAACCATAAAAATGAATTGTACTAGCTTTGACTTTGTGTTTTCTTTTCTTTCCTTTTTTAAAAATTTGGTTCTTACAGGCAGAGGTTATTAAACTAAAGAACACTGATTCTGTAATAAGCAAGCTTCTCCCCCACATATGCAGTAGTGGCATTGTAATGTTATAGGAAGAACATTGGTTATGTTCAAAGCAGATTAAAAAAAAAGAGAGAGGTTCTTTTTCCCAACATTTGTTGAGAAATTCCAATTTGCTTACTCTAAGATTGTATCAAGTTTTGTCAACAAAGGAGATTCTTAGACTGGATCTAATGGACAAACATGATATTTGTGTTTTTATGACAACAAAAGGTCCAATCTTGGACACAGGCACTTCTCTTTGACCTCATAGCAAAAGCATCAATGATGAGCAACCACACAGCATATGAATGAGTCTAACAACATCCTCCATTTGTTTGGTAGGCAAATGTTTGAGCATTTGGGCACCTCCATGATTTGCAGAAAACTTGTGATATATTGCTACAGAAACTCCATTGCCAGGCTGGGTCACCCAAGTTCATGCCTCACAGGGATCCAGAAAGAGAAAGCATGTGCTTCAGCATCTGGAAGACACATTTCTAATGTGCACTCATGTCTCAAGGAAATTGATCAAGTTCAAAACAGTACAGACGACATTTTATAAAGTCTACTGAATGTAGTCACAAGAGACAAATCAGTAAGCAGACAGCCTTGAAAAAGTTGTGCCTGGCACAAGTCAGTTCTCCAATGTAGTTGGAAGTTTGCTAGTATAAAGAATGGAAGACACGGAATTTGAGAATTACAGATTTAACTAAGTCAGAAATATGACTCAATGGATTTTATTGGGTCATAAGCAAAGATGTTTGCATTTTTCTAGTGTATAGGCAGCTGATAAAAAATTCCCCCTGGATTCATATCCCTTAAAGTCACATTTTCTATCTCTGTAAGTCACCCTCCTGTATAAACTTGACATGCTTAATTGTCCACAGAACACATTTATGACAAGTGGGCTAATTAGGTATTTGTCGGCTTTTACCACAAAGTTATTACTTTAAATTTGAGATTGGATTAGAGTTTACTTTTCCAAATCAGAAAGATTGGCCATAGTGATTCTAAAGAAGCACTTAGACTCAAATTTTGTGTCTCATAAAACTAATTCTAGAAGTGTTTTCAAAATTTTATTCACTCTAATATTAGTATCCTTTGTTGTAAGAGCTATTTAGCCTATTAGATTGCTCAATTCAGAGAAAAGAAATAAGGAAATGTAGAAAATAGAATTTTTAAAATCTAAATTATTTCTTCCAAATTTTAGGAATATTTTTGTTACTTTGCAGGGTAGAAGCAGAAAAAATAAAGCCTAAAAAATCTTACTGCATATCCCAGGAAAAGCTCTTAAATTGGCTTATTGTTACAGGAATTTAGGGGAAGTTTACTGTACATATTAATACAGTTCATGGGAAAATAGAGAAAGAAGAAAGAAAGAATGAGTTGATAGAAATTTGTAGTACAATAATTTTAAAGAAAGTATGGCTTGAAAGCCTAAAAAGGAGAGCCCAAATAAAAAGAGACCAGAGCAAAAAATGAAGCGATTCACTTGGTTAGTTAATATTTCATTCTTCTTTACATGATTTATATTAATATTTCCTAAACCAAACTATAAGTGGAATTTAATTTTGACTGGTGAGACAAGAAATGAAGGGAGAAAGGAAAAGAAAAAAAGAACAGTTACTGATACAGAGAAAGGGAAATGGAAAATCAGTTGGGCTGAGAGGATAAACACGTACCTCTCAAGGTCATAGCCAGTATTTATGCTCTAAATCAGGGATCCAAAATGCTTCTGCCAACTTCAACTTAAGTATCTCCTACTTATGAAAGTGTGCTTTATATTGCGTTGTTGTTACTAAAGCACTATATTAGTACTTGTTTTCCATAGCTAAAAAGAGTATTTTTGCTTTTATGACCAAAGGTGAAGAGTGCAAATAGCATATTTGGGTTGCAGCAGACATACTAAAGGCAGCTTGCACCCCAGCAGCAGCAAGAACACTGCCAATGCCAAGTTCTTTCCCTGGGAACTTCTTTGTATATGTTGTGCACTTCTTAGCTCATTCCTGCTTTTACTGTATGGGTAAGTTTTTTTAGGTTTAATGTGTTACTTGCTATAATTTTTGGGTTATTTGGGTTTGGAAATGCTGGAAATTTTTTCCATGTAAGCTGATGGTATTTGCTTCTTTGCTTTGTGCCATTGCATTCTATCAAGTTCTTTAGGGAAGCTGAACTTCTGGCTAGTAGAGGAAACCTGTACTCTCTGAGCTCTCCACTTCTCTTTGTTCAAGATACATCATATTTTACTAAAGGTGTTTCACTGAAGTAAGCCAAATATATTTAAAGGACTGTAAAAAGCTGTATAAATTGGTCCAAATACCCCTAGAGGCTAGGGGTAAGGAGCAAAGGGAGGAGAGGGCTCGATGCACTGTGGGTGAAGGTTTATGGGTGATTGGTGATGGGTGTGATGTGGTGACATACATCTGAAGAGATGTGAACCTGTGAGTCTGAATAATATAGCATTATCAACCTTGTTTTCCTCAATAATTTTTAAAAACTGGAAAAAAAAATCTATGTTAGGTCTTCAAGATCTCAGTTTTGAGAGCACACAATTCAACCCACAGCATAAATTTTGATGATCTCACTGATAATTGTACAGACAACAAAGCAATTGTTTGTTCAAGCTTTGATTTTTACCTGAATATGTATAAAAATTTCTAAATGCTAATTGCTATATATAATATATATGTGTGTGTGCATATATATATGTATTATATATATATATCTTGAAAGATTTTTATGTGTTGTTGAAGAGAAATGCCTAAAATTTATTGAGTCTTTAAAAATGCTCCTTAGCTAGTTATCTGTCAACATGCTTTGGCAATAAGATTTGTAAAAAAAAAAGTCTATTTTTTTTTTCCTTTATGGTGTCTGTTTCTGTGTCACTAAATCATTTGCTTTATATCCTCACTGATTAGAAAGCATTTGAGATGAGCAAGGCAGA